GGCAGCTTTCCAGCCACTCTTCCCCAAGCCTGTAGCGCTGCATGGGGTTGTTGTGGCCAAAGTGCAGGACCCGGCACTTGGCCTTGTTGAATCTCATACAGTTGGCCTGGGCCCATCGATCCAGCCTGTCCAGGTCCCTCTGCAGAGCCTTCCTACCCTCGAGCAGATCAACACTCCCGCCCAACTTGGTGTCGTCTGCAAACTGACTGAGGGTGCAGTCGATCCCCTCATCCAGATCATTGATAAAGATATTAAACAGAACTGGCCCCAATACTGAGCCCTGGGGAACACCGCTCGTGACCGGCCGCCAACTGGATTGAACTCCATTCACCACAACTCTCTGGGCCCGGCCGTCCAGCCAGTTTTTGACCCAGCGCAGAGTCCACCTGTCTAAGCCGTGAGCCGCCAGCTTCTCTAGGAGAATGCTGTGGGAGACGGTGTCAAAGGCCTTACTGAAGTCCAGGTAGACCACATCCACAGCCATAAAAAGCCATATGAAGCCATAAAAGCCTCTGGAAATGCCTTGAAATAAAACCAGTTGGAAGCTGGAGATACAATTTATGCTTGTCTTATCTTTACTCTTCCTTAGGCATGTAGGCCCTGCTGGGAGTCAGAACAGGGACTTAGATAGACCTTTGGTCAAACTACTACAGTCACTCTTCTGTTATTAAGAGAAAAATAAATACACAACATGACTCTAGAACTAAATACGTATGGGTCTCCTGCACTGCATTTTGTCAGTATTTTGCTATCCTCAGAAGGATAACTAGTGCTTTCCTCTGCAGTGCAGAATGAGCTTGAGAAGCATCACTCAGGCTGGCAGCATACGAGAGCTTTCCTGCCTAGCCTGCAGAAGAGCTCCGTTCACATGTCATATAATTCTACAATCTGCCCAACAAGGGACAAATTCTGCTCCTCACTTTCAAAAGCAGGTCTGAATAATGCAGTCACTTAGAACAAATGGGATAAATTGAGCTTGTTTGGAACTTTGGAATAAATAGCACAGTTTATACCACGTATATGGGTAGCCTCAGCTCTTAACTAGTCAGCTAATTAATAAGTTTGATCTACTGTCAATTGATTTCCTAGCAATCTACAAAGAATTATGAAACACTAGTAGTTTATGCTTTTAACAGTCATTTATAGAGGCTGTAAGCGCAAAGATGTAATTCCCGGAGGAGGCATCATATACTGTTGTGAAGATACTTGGAAACAACTAATAAAACCAACAGCCATGGAGAATTTTTTACATTAAAGCTTCATGAAATTCACTGCTGGCAAATGTAATGCGATATGCTTTAAGGGAATCATTGTAATGACTTTGATTTGATTCTGATTTAACTAGAATGACAAGGAAAAGACTGGTATACCATTGTGAACAGCATGATAAACAATTTCCGAAAATAATGAAAGACAAAAGCAGGATGTTCCAGTACCTAAAGCATGAAACTAAAACCAATATTGATCCATTCCAGCAAACCTGTTCCTATTTTACAAGCCCACAGTTCTGCTGTCACTTGGAATGTTTGCTGTGGTTAGTCTTCCTTACCCTACTCTCTAACATGGTAGAACAGAAACAACAGAGATAGAGAAGAATTAAAATGATGTTATGGGAATGGAAAAAATTATTCCCATGTGATCACAGAATGAAGAATGCTGCACTGCGCTGAAAGGAAAAAATAAGAAGGGACATGATAAAAGGATGCCAAATAATAGGTGTTATGAAGAAGGTATAATAATTATAGAAGTGGGCATTGCCACTCATCCTCCCTCACAAAAAGGACAAAGGAATATAAAAAAAATAATGAAAAACAGCATCAGAAGGCTTAAAAAAACCTCTCTGCAAGTTAGTTTTCGGAACACACAGTAATACATTATCACTCAAGCTAAGTCAGGAATAGGATTTTTAAAATACATAAGAATGTATATGGTTTTCAGGCACACCTGCATCTAAACTGAACAAAAAGAGTATCTATACAGATGAGAGAGAGCAATCTCTACCATTCCCAGCACAGACTGCTCAGAAACTTGCATTGGAAACTTCTTAGGGCAGCTCACTCCTAATCTGTCCATTACCAGGTTTCTGCCACCTTGCTCTGAAATGCTTTGGAGCTCTCACCATGGCAGGCCGTAGATGCCATGCTAATCTGGTATTAGAAACAACATTTTCCTTTGAATAAGGCCGCTATTTAGCATTACCAGAGCCCTCCCAGTATCTGTTACCTGGGCGGACAGTCCTTTTCATAACATTTCTTCTGTCGCCCGTTTGGCTGCGTTGCTGGGTCACAGAAGGAGTTTTTGATCGCTCCGCTTCCCTTCCGCATGCAGTGGGCAATCTGGCGCCGCACCCCTGTGAGACAAAGACACAAAAAAGTTAACAGTAACCCATGTAGGCTGGGGATGAGCTGTAGAAATCCTCTAGCATGGGGAGTACACACTGGTCATACTCCACATCCCAGAATACAGTAACAGCTATGAAAGTCAGTTCTGCTGAACGTCTGGGCTAAGTCAGGTATGAGCATCCTTTAATCAAGCTGAAAAGGTATTAAGCAGAACTCTTTTGGATCAGATAGCTCAAGCAACACATTAGAAAGCACTTTCCTTAATCACAATTTAGTTGTCAGCCTCAGAAAGGGCTCCTGCAGGCCCTGAAGCAGGTTTAAAGGGCTACGAATGGTTCTTGGATTACTCACAGATTACTGCATCAGCCTATTCACAGCAAGGCTGTTTTTGCTGACCTTTTCTTTGTACTTCTGAGAAGGCTGTTTAAGCAGAATACAAACTGGAGTATATCAGCAAAACTATAACCCTGTGACTCTTAATGCTGAATTTAACTTTTGAGAAGTTTTAATACAGATCTTGACCAAAAATGATGATGCCATAATACGAGGGAGAAAATCTTCCGTTTTCTAAATAACTAATACACAGCACTCATCACAAGAGGCAAAGCACAGTAATGACAAGACACACAGACATCCCATACATACAATTTGGGTTATTTCCTAACAGTTCCACTTACAAAAACTGCCATGCATTTAACAGAAAGAAACATGAACCAAAATACTGCATTACCCTAGTGCGAATCTAAACAAAGCCAGTTTCCAGGGGCCTGCCTTCCACACAGTTTAGCAATAATTTGAGGTAGGTCCTGTGCTGCAAACCCAGTGTAAAAAAAGGTATTGCAATATTACAGTTTGAAAGGTTGTAGCTAGACTGGTATAGAGGCATTAAAATAGTGGCATTAGGCCCAAATAAATCCCAAGGACTAAGAAGACTGAAGAAACTTGTTTATTAACTCTCATTAAATTAACTGTGCTATTAATTCACAGCAATTAATATGCAGACAGTAGGTCACTGTATCTCTGTGACTTTTATCCTTCTCCTGGGAAGCAAAGGGCCTAACAGCACTGTTACTACCGTGTCAGGGATAACTGTTAGGCTATTTTGCAGACTGTTTAGGAATCAAGCTTTTCCTTGCCTCACACCTCCTAATAACTAGTGTGGGAAAATATCTGGAAGATAAGAACAGTAATCCATAGATAATAATACTTGGGAAATATGAAGATATTACTCTATACAACATGTACTTATGTTCCTCTATACAGCAATGTCCCCATACATGGCAATTAAGACATATTTCCTAAAATTTCATGCTAGCCTTATGGTTATCTTGCTTTAAGTAATTTCACAGCATTCAAATTTGTTTTCCTCTCCAAAATTTAACAATCTACTTATAAAAATAAATACAGAAAAAACAGAATACCAATTCTGATACTAGGAAATCCAAAGCTAGCAACGGAGGTAACTTTTGGTGGGAAAACTGAGCATGGACTGCATGTGTGAAGGGGAGGTTATAGTCAGGTATTACTGAAAAAGGCCTCCACAACACAAGGAAATTAAAAAATTTCTATGCATATTTGGGCCATTCCATAGAAGCAGATGGAAACCTGTATTTTATTTTTATAGCACCTTAAGACATCAGGTCTGTGACACTGTGAGGAAATGCTATAGCTTTTAGAGTACTTTTATTGCAACTGAGACATGTAAGACAATTACTGACAACAGCACAGGATTTGGTGACTGAGTCTTCTCCGGTCGTACATGAAGGTTGATTTGCTAGAACAAGGATTAGTTTCACCCAGAAGGGAGAATTAAGGGACTGCAACCCTGTTCTCCCAATAATGCTCTTTGCTGAGGCATTCAAGCTCCAGGGTACATGATGTGCAAGTAGCTGCACGACTGCAGCATGGCTGGATGTGGCTCTCTCCTGTCCCTAGGGGACTTCAAGCAGCAGAAAGCTTTTTGGTTCAGTGCAGGACTCCCAGTGAGCAGTCCTTTGTTTTATGCTATGAAAAATGGAACTGGAATAGTTAGCAACCTTCCTGCTAGTTGTAAACAAAGCAGTTCACAGAAATATGTTTCTGTCCCTTTCAAAATCATGGTATATTGCCATTACAAATGCAAATGAGAGAAGAACTCTTTTGCTTTGATAAATTTTTAGTGTCATTTCAGCTGCTGTAATTCACTTTAAAACCACTATACACCTTTGCAAAAGTTTTGTTTTGAGGCTGTGCATTCTCATAAAACATTTGCTGATCACTGGCATCAATAAACTAATTTATTCACACAAACCATTTTTATCATGGAAGTTATGTGAACTCTCACTGTAGTTTCAAAATCTGGGAAATTCTGGGATGGATGTATAGATTTAAAGAAGCCATAAATGCACAGTTTTTTATCATGACTGTGTATAGTTCAGTTCCAAAGTTGGAAGGAATCCTATATGCATATATTGACATACATATATATGTGTAGGTATAGATATAATGACATAATGAAACAGTTGTTTTTTTCAGCTTGAGCAAGTCAAACTAGAAAACATTGCAAAAGTAGAAAACTAGTCACCTCACAGTGACCCTGCCCTACCAAACATTTACACAGTTACATAACTTAAATGTGTAATATCCTATTTAAGTCACAGATTAAAAATTCTAAATATACTTAAAAACTCAGTAAAATTGGAAACCTAAACACTATTTCTATAAGGCTCTGAGAGGGTAGTTGTTTTCCTTCCTTCACCTCATTTACTTTTCTCTGACCTCAGTGCTAACTAGTCCATGCTGACAAATGTTTTGCACGCACAAAGGTGCTGGCTGTATTCATCAGGACATTGTCTCTGTGTTCGTAGTCCCACTGCAAAGATCTTGCTTTTTCTGCTGGAGTGGGAATATCCCATTCCTTTCTGCTCACCTCAGCACTCATTGCACCATAGCCCTTCCCACACCCATGTTTCTTTACACAGAATTGTACCATCTCAATTCTGCGAAAAAAACCCTACAAATATTTCTGGAAAAAAACCAGAGAAACCAAGAATGACAACAGTGAGATCAAACAATGGTCTTGATTTCACTAAGTCTGCTCTGAGATTGCTTCTACCTCTCTGTGCCACTTCATCCCTAATGCAGGACTTTTTAGATGGGAGGTTGACACACACAGCGCCTGATTTCTCACTTAGTTTGTAAAAAAAAGGTGCCAGTTTAAAATCATTTAGTTGTGGAAGGTTTTTGAAACAGAGATTAGAAATCTGTTGGCTGCATAGCCCTTAGTTTGGGCAAAATTAAGGCTGAGAACAACAGAAATGAAGGAACCAGAAGCAAACATACAAAATGTGTATGCAAAAGAGCATATCTGTTTGTAAAACTAATTTGAACATGTAATTGTCACAGCTGTGCACGAAATCAGACACTCTGCAAGGAGTTCACTTTGGTATTTGAATGAACAAACTATATTCAGTGCATGCATAAGTTATGTACACAATACAAGAGCCAACCTTTACATTCTTGGTGTTATAAAACTTAGACCCATAATAGCGAAAGAAAATACAGTGACTTTTGCTTTCTAAAATCAATGCAACAAGTTTAGTACTACATTTCAGTTGAGGAACACCTGGAGGTAATTTTGCAAAGTAGCCCTGATAACAGTTGTGAAGAATTTAGAGGGCACATAACAATTAACCCCCAAACGAATCTTACAGTTAAGTCCTTTTGCAAAGCTTTGAAAATTTGCCAATTACTGATGTTATCCATGGAGAAGTAAATTGTTGAGGTTGCCTAATATTCTCCCATAGTTGCAGCTGCACTGCGCTTTGCTTCTTGTTACATTCAATGCCACTCAAAGCTAGTTCTAAGAAACATGATTATTAAAGCCTTTAGACAAGGATGAAGGATTTATAGTTGTAATTTCTAATTGACCATTATTTAAAGAAAGAATAATGGGTAGTAATCTTCCTACAAAAAAAGCTTAAGGGCTTTACATGTTGTCTTGACAGTAGGCTCTGGAGGGACAGGTCCTTGGCCAGAGGGTGCAGCAGTCTGCAGGACACTGTCCAGTGTGCACACGCTGACTGCAAAGCAATTCCTTTCTGCATAAAGCAAATGGCAGGCAGAAAGGCAAACTGCCCTGCAGTGAGGACAGAGCAAGGCTTATGATTTTTACTATAAATTATCCCCTTCAGCATTTGTTTGTCACGAAATAGATTGCAATGTAATTACTGAACTATTTTCTACATTGCAAATGGGTATCAGGTATTGCAATGTGTTCTCCTTTTCCCTGCATGCAGTATTAGGTGTGTTTGCTACAGAAAACATTGATTTTTCAGACAATATATTTTCCCTGTTAAATGGTGTTACTGTAGACTGGCCAGACCCACTCTTTGAGACTACAAAAGGCAGGGGCACATGAAGGAAATGAAGGAAAACATGAGCACATTTGCGTCTTCTCTTTCTCAGTTGCAATGGAGTTGGGGAAGGATATGGGTCAGGGCATGGCGTGGTGCTACCTTGAGGCCAAGAATCTTTTGGAAAATATCTTTAGGGAGCTGCCCTGGTTTAATTCTGAGAAGCGACAGCTTCACTCTCAAAGACATTATTCATCATTGGGACTTTCTGCAGGTACATTTGCCTTGGATAAGGAGCTGTATCATAGGGCTAAACCCGTATTTTTTCTCTTAGGACAGACGAGGCTTTCCTGCATCAGCCCATTCCCATGCCTCTAGCCCCATTTATCACTCCCTAACTCAGCTTCACTCTCTTGGCTCCAGGAAGTATTTGTTTGCATTGTCCTGATTTCAGTGGCTACAAAAGGCCAAAGTGCCCTTGGATTTACTGCTACTGTTTTGACCAGTTGTGATGAGAGGCCTTATGCCAAATCTTTAGGCAGGTCCAGGTTTGCCAAGAGAACAAAATTCTAGGTAAGGATAAATTTCTCCTACTGGCTGTAGCTGTCAAAGTTAGTTCAATAGTTCACTCTTCCTTTTATCCTGAAAAACTATTGGTTTATTATTTACCAAATGATAACTGCAAAATTCCTTGAAGGTTATTTTATTACTACCTTTATTCTAAATGAATGCAACTTTTCTTATCTCCTTGACCCCCACTGTAGGCTTGTCTTCCGTAAGACTTGTCATGCAGCACACCAATAGCAGAAGACGATCTTGCCTACTTCAATGCACTTTATCTTACAAACCTTTCAAAACTCTTCAAATGCCTGACATTTGGCACAACAGGTCTGTTACTGCCAATGGCAATAAATTCTGAATCTAAACAGAGTGTATGTTCAGATAAAATCACTCTCATCATTCAAAGCCTGAAGGAAGTTCTGTGGAAGTCAGAGAAGGGTGTTGCTTAATCCAGCAACATTGGGAACATTCAGATCTGCCTTTGTTCTGCCTCCTGGTCCTGAACTGAACTCGGGGGGATCAAACCACAATAATGAGTAACCGTGTGAGACTTTCTAGTTCTAGGTCAACAATCACTGCCATGCCCATATTCCCTGCTAAATGTAGCAAGACTTTAGAGTTTCCAAATTTCCATAATGATGGAGAGCTAACATTTTCCAAATACACCTTCCCTTCTGCTACGCCTTTTTTTTTATGCAGCAAAGCTCCAGATATTTTTGCTGATGTGTTTGTGCTCTGATCACCCGGGAATAAACCTGCTATATTACTGCACCAGTGTGGTGCTTAGGACAGCCAGCTAGCTCAGATTCAGTGCTGAGCTAATGTGACAACAGCACAGCTGGTCCACATTCAGACAGCCCAGAGCACAACCAGATAAAGCATCGGGTACCTGCAGAAAACTGCAGACAGACTGTAATATCAGAGCTCTCCTGGTTCAAGTGATGCATTGAAGCTCTGTGCCAGTGTTTCCCTTTTTTCTCGGCAGGGAGTAAGTGACAATACCCTGACTGCATCATATATTAGCAGATTACATCCTCCTTTAGACTTGTTCAGTTACTTTTATAAATGTATGCATTTATATAAATGTATGTACAAGGAAAGAGAGCCAAGGGTCTATTAATGTCTTTTCTCCTGTCCATGAAGGAATGCAGAGAACTGGGAAGGTTTCTGTGCCCTGTTTGAACTGTAATGCACCTCTTGGTTCCCCTGCAAACTCATGTCAGTAAGTCCACAATCTTGCCTGAAACATATAATTTCCACCTATGTAAAGAAAAAGCCAATGAGCTCAAGAAATATTTATTAAGAGCCCAAAGACAGTAAACAGAGGAAGCCACCTATTAAATAAAAACTGAAAAAAACCCTATATCCTGCAATCCTCTATTTAAGTAATCCATGTGGCAGGTAGAAATCAAAGCCAAGTCACACAGTTCTTTAGCCAGAAACAAAACAACATAATAAACAGTCTAATAACACTACCCCCCCCCCTTTTTGTTATCATGCCAATTGTTGCACTAAACACTATTCACAACTAGGTATCAGAACTAAAACATACAACATGCAATTAAGGAAAACAATTGTTCTCGGTACCTATTTAAAGAAAATGGGTTTTGGGTTTTTTTTCTGCTAACCAGAAAGCGCATGGTGTTTTGTGCTGAGAGACTCTTCTCAACCCCCCCCCCAAAAACAAACCACACAAATTTTTGCACAAACTTGCATATATGGATGTATAAATATCTGTATAATACATCCATTATATATATAAAAATATATTTTATAATATAGGAATGTTATAGGGATGGGGTAATTTACACTATTCTTCTAAAATTCTTCTTTTAATCCTCTAAAATTAAGGCCACACAATGTCCTTTGTTCAAACCACTGAAAATGCATTGTTTTAGTGTCTTTTCTGACAGGAAAGATTAAAAAATTGTTACTCCTGTAATCATCACTGCTTCTGGACTCCCAACTGGATTTGTTACAACATTTGTTTATCTTTTACTTTCCTTCTGGAAAGTAGGTAAAGAAAGCAATAATTATCAAAAACACTGACAATACCCTAGCATTAGAAAGATAAAAGGCTTATTTCCTGTTGTTTGTCCAGTGACTGTAACATTGATCTTCTGCTGTTCTGTACAGTTTTCACACAGACGGCCAAAGAACAAGGTTCCCATCCTGTCTCCGGGGCTCTTCTTCTGTCCAGTGAAACTCAGGCACTAATTCAGACAGAAGGCTGCAATCTCTTCCCCCCAAGGTGCAGACTTCCTGTCACACACAACATCTTTCTCATCTATGAGAAAGAAAGTAGGCTCTAACGGAGCCTACTATGAGTTAAAAATTATTCCCGCAGAGGATGGATAAAAACCTTTACTTCTGTAAAGAAACCTTCAGTCTTCTTATCATTATCATTGGTTTATTGCAAGCATTAACTTCATCTCATTGATCTGTTAACTACCTTAAAGAAAGTTTTCCTGCTAGCATTTTCTGTGTGTTACCAAAGGCAAACTTTTAGACCTGTTGTTAGATCCTACTTCACGGTGTCATTCTGCTTGTCTGGTTTAATATGCTGCACAGAACTACAATACAACTGCAGCTGTTCCCAAGCCATTGTACTGAGAGTGGCAAAGACATGTAAGTTCTCAAGACTGATTTAAATAAAGTAATTATTGAGAAATGCACAAAAAGCATTGTTGCTTATCAAGGCAGGACAGAAATGAAGAATATTTTTTGTAGTTAACATAACTACAAACTACAATAACTGGAAAGACTCAGTACGGAAACAAGAGTAGGTCATAAATTAGTATTGCTGGGAAGTAGGGTTATTGTGAACAATATTGACAGCAAATTATGAGGAAAAGGAAACTGTAGTTTTTCATTTTGGTTCACAGAGGTTGAGAATTTTAGGGCAGGTGTTATAGAAACCTATTTGCCTTAAATGATTTAATAACATTTTATTTTAAAGCCAAAATACGTTATTGTAACCATGGGATCTGACTTCCCACCAAACGCAGATTAAAGAAGTTACCTCTTTGAGGACACTGTCTGGATAACTTAAAGTAAAGATGAGATTTGCCAGTAATGAAGACAAACAGTAATAGAAAAAGGAAGTGAGGAATTACCTCTTCCACAGGTAACACTGCAGGCTGTCCAGTCTCCATACTGCCAGAAATACTCTGACTCTCCAATCTCATTCTCGTGACTTTCTTCTTTACGTACAGTATATTCATACTTGATTCCAGGGTTAGTTTCTTGAAAAAGTAGCTGGAAAAATAGTGTTTAATTTAATTACTTATGATTTTAATCATCTACTGGCCCAAAGGTTTCAAAAGAAAACAGAAGAATCAGCAAGGTTTAAAGCAGCCCATTTTGGAGCCTACTACGAGTTCAGAAAAGCAGACTGGCAAAACTTCCATTTGTGCGCCAACAGTGGCATACATGTATCTAAGACACAGTTGTTTGCCATGCACTTTTGCAAGCACAGGTGGGAGTAAATGGGCCAGCATAATTGGTATCCTATTAACTGTAGGAAAAGACAATGCAAAGTCCATCCAAGACACTGCCAAATGTGTTGCTGATTAAGAGCTATTGCCTATCACCATTATAAATTATAAATTCCCTACCCTTCTGAAATAGCTGTTACAAAACAACCAATAGGTCAGAAAATTACAGGCTTTATTCAGACACTGCTTTAATATTATTTTTCAGTGTTTTTGGATTAAGAAGGAAAATACCAATTGAGAAGAACCACTCAAGAAATTTACTGTTTGGCTGATGAGAGGGAGAAAAGAAAAACATCATCAAGGGATAAAAGACTTCAGCAATGAACTTCTACACTTCCTCCTAACTGTTTCCTTGACCTTTTTACTGACAGTGAAGATTGAGTACCTGTTAGATGTGCCTTCTCACCAGACATTCAAAGTGTGAAAGTGGCTCCCATCAAACCTCTAATTACTTGTTTTAATTGCGTGGTGGATACACAGGCAAACAAGCCAGAAAGACACATTCAGAGAACAAGGGGCAATTTAAAACTATTTTTGCAGAATTAACAGAAGGTCGTTATATTTAAGTTAGAATCTATAAAGCAACATAAAAGAAAGAAAAAGGAGCAACCTCAGTGGATGCTAAATGGATCCATTTCACTTACCATAAGCTATTAATCCACTTATCTAATGCTATATTTTCTTGCTCAGTGTAAGCTGTCACTGCTGTCAGCCTTCCCTAGCTCTCACTGTTCACAGCCTAACATCAGTTCCCTTTTTGTGATGTTTTAGTTGTTGCTAGGTAATGCTTACACTAGTCAAGGACTTTCTAGTTTCCCATGCTCTACCGACTGAGAAGGCTGGAGGTGCACAAGAAGCTGGGAGGGGGCACAGCCAAACTGGCCAAAGGGACATTCCATACCACGTGACGTCATGCTCAGTGCATAAACTGGGGGAAGCTGGCCGGGGGCCGCTGCTCGGGGACTGGCTGGGCATCGGTCAGCAGGTGGTGAGCAATTGTACGGTGCATCACTTGCTTTGTGTATTATCATTATTATTATTACATTATTATTACTTTATTTCAATTATTAAACTGTTTTTATCTCAACCCATGAGTTTTTCTCACTTGTGCTCTTCCAATTCTCACAGCCCCAGCACATTCTGCTGCCATCCAAACCGAGCAGGTGACCTCCTATTTACCTGAATCCATATTGATTCATTGGTGGGTCCTGGAGCAGTCAGATTTTCTAGATCCCCTGTTCTGTCATACTGAAATACCGTGCCTGCCACTTTGTATTCACCATTCCACTGGATGATAAAGCCTCCATTCAGGTAATATTTTTCTGGGTCTTTGCTTCGCACAGCAAGGAAATTTCCTGCTTCTGCAACTTCCATGACTTTGATTCCCCTTGCACCTTTCGGAATTAGCCCAATATCAACGTATCCTAAGAGAAAAGAAGGGTTCATGGAGGTGAACAACAAAAACACCAGTGCATTTTACTTATGTATAAGATTACTAAAATATCAGCTTTGCTTGAAAATATATACAAATGTGCTATCAGGGATCTTGTATTTCAGTTAGTTAATAGTGTTTATTAAAAAACCAGGTTTTGCAGTATCAGTTGGGGAATACGAATGCGCACTCTGTTTAGGCAATGACAGTGGCATTTAGAAGAGATATGGTGGTGAATGATTTTCTGAGCTGTACCAGGGGAAATCTACTCCACAGATGAGCATCAACATCTCCGTAACCATACCCAAGGGCTCTGGCATACTGCAATGTAAGTAATCTGGAGAAATGCCAGGGAGTCCCAGGAAGTTAACGGTCTGTTGTGGGAAAGGTCTTTTCAATTTGCAAGGAACGTTTTCATCTGCCACCAACTTACAGGTATGTACATAATTCCATGTACCTTCTTTTAAGTCATTTAACTTCTCCATGACTGTTTCCCATAGATAGCCTTTCTACAAAAAACCTGAACGCTGTTCAAATGCCTCAAATTACTATGATCAGTTGAACACATTTTTATAAACTACTGATTTTCATAAGGAAGTTCAACAGCTCTTCATGTATAAAGTTATCTGTAAAAAGAGATTTTTGGTATGTGTGTTAAGAATGAACTCAGAGCATCTACTACAGAATTTTGTTTGCACCACAGGCAATATATGACATCAGGCTCTGTGTTTCTCACCTTGCAGGGAACTGCTATTGCTACTGAACTGTAAAAATAGGAAGTTCACATAGAAATTTGAACGCAAACTCAGGTAGCTTTCTTGCTATTGCTCCTGGCTAGGCTTTAGAAATTGGATGGGTGACAGTTCTACAAGCAGGTGCCCTGGGAGTGTAAGCTGCAGTTTGTGCTAGTTTACTTCAAGATTGGAACATATGTGGTTCCCCAGTTCTCATCAGACACTGCTGAGGTCATGAATTAAATTCTGAGACTCACATCCCATTCAACTTTCTTGTGAAATAAACTTATCACCTTTGATTACTCACTCACATGAATGAGATAAACCACACTGGGCATACTAAGCGATCTTCGATATCAACGCTCTCCACCTACCAGAAGTACTTACATGCTGTACAACAACCTGCTGTTGTAAATAAGTGCCCCAAAGTCTTTAACATCTGAATTTTCTTTGCAGTTCTTCTGTGGGGTGGTAAGTATTGGTTCTAATGTCGTATATTGGTTATGGTACTGTCTATTGATCTGTCTACTTCAGGCCCTTCCTAATTACATTAATAATATATAATTATTTTTTTTTCCAGTGATTAATGTTCAAGAGAGAGAGTTTTCTGGATGTCACCTTCTGCAAGTTTCCTAGACTGATTGTGGAAATCCAAACTTTTCAGTCTTTCGTAAGTGAAGGGAATAAAATCTGGAGGATTACTGAATAACTTCTATTATAGGAAACCAGCAGTCTAGGTCTATTATAAGTAACCAAGGTCTAATGATTCTTCCAAATGTTCTATTCATTCAGTGCAGAGGAGACATGTTACGAACACAGTGTGTGATCATGTAACTAAAGACTTGATTAGAAGGCATACTCACAAATGGGCCAAATTAACACAGCATGGAAAATCTTAATTGTGTCACGTCCTGACAGCTTGGCTTTGCAACGTTGGTGTCCTTTTCCAGTAGGTTTTTTTTATGTAATTAGCATAGCATTTGTTCAAAACACGAAGTATAAAAACAATAAAACATAATTTTCTTTCTGTTGTAACATACAAATCTGTATCCTCTCAAGTTTTTGCATAATTATTTTTGTCTGAATCACCTGCTGTTGCTTATAAACCTGATTTTAAATGTATTGCAACCGTCTGGTAATAGATGTTACGAATTGTAACACACTCCCTTCTCCCTGGCCCTCCCTTTTTTGACTAGCTAAATTACCTCCTGATTTCCCAGAACCTCACACTAATTCCTAATGAATGTTATCTGCTTTTGAAAGCAAAGCTAATCAGCAGCAACGTTTTGAGTTTGTCACTCAAAATAATAAATCTTTGTTTAAAAATGATGTGGATGGTGTTTATATAATTGTTCCTGGTTATATGGTTTCATCTGATAAGGATCTAGAGATCTGAGATTGAATAACAGTCAAAATATCATCTAACTTACATGCTGTGCTCATTAAATCCTGGAGCATCCATATTGTGGGTGCTACCATACACCCGTGAAATGGCAACTCGCAGATGCTATTAGTCTTTCCCTTTTAATTAAAATTAAATCTATGTGCTCCTAATACAGACAAGAGTACAACATGAATAAATTCATGCAACACTTGTTGTAGGCACAGCTCTACCAGGACTGAAGAGCTTGTTTCTCTTTTCTCATTGCTGTGAGAGAGGAGTAATTTCACTCTGGTGGTTAGTACAGTATTGCAGATCAGATGATAATCAGATCTAGCTATTTCTCCTGTTCACAGCAGCTCCCACCCTGCTCTCCAGTTTGGTGTATCTGTGAGCTTCTCTCTCTTAAAAATACATGTCCCTGAGGCACAATTTTCCTCTAAGCCAGGCTCTAGGCACTACCACAAGAATAGTATGTGGAAAACTGCATAGGCTCCCGGTGGCATAGTGGGTTTGCAAGTCAAGGTATGGTTGCATACAGCCTTCCCATGGAATAGAGGGAGCACTGCAGTGTGTGATGGTAATGGGAGAAAAATTATAGTCCAGAGATAGTCTCCTAAGTGAGGATCCAGGAGACCTTCCAGTCTCTCAGATCAACATTTGCGTCACGGCTATGTCCAGACTCCATCTCAGGGCTAGGTTCAGGCACGTACCAGATCTCTGTCTGCACTTTGGTTGCATGAAAAGGAAACAGGGATAGCAGGGAGACGATGGCACATGTTGATTCAGTCCCAGCCAAGTTGCGTCAGGAGATAACAGGAGATAAACCTGGAGATAAACCTCCAGGTTAGGGTGAGTACAGTCACAGTTTCTTTATTTGCCCATCACTTTGCTAAAAGTCAGCCCTTCACAGGAGTGACATGCACCTAATCTTGCCTTCTGACTGGCAGACTAAGTCACCTCCACTGCTATTGTACAATCCCTCATTTCCTAATTTTCATAAATTTAAATGTATTGTCCCCTTGCTACTGAAAGCTGGAAAATTCATTTCCCCCTACACACACAAAAGGGTGAAGACAGGACTATTACCCATCCTTCTGACCACCACTTGTTTCCTAGCCACTCCTCCTTCCCAGGCACATTCCTTTGTTTGATCCTCACAACCTCATTCTCCCTTTTTGTTATCCATTTACTCCACACTCCCTGCACTTGCTACAGTCCTAAATCCCTGTCCCTTGTGCCTCAGTCTTTCTCCTACCCCAATGCTTCTCCTCATCCAGCAGCACAATTTATTCTCCTTTCAAAAGAGTTTGCACACCTTGCAAATGTTCTGCTGTACACAGTAATACTCCTTTGCAGTCACCACAACAACTTGAGTAAGAACAGGGATTTCCACTTTTAAATACCTCAAAATAAAAACAGACTTCTTCTACCTTAACAACAGGAGAGCTTGTGACTTCTTTGCCCAGGCCTAGACCTTGCTTTTCAATGCCCTGCTCACATTGCAACCTTTCTGCCATCAGAGTTCAGCTGAAGCCACTTAAATGATTTTCAAACGAACCTCCTGAAAACAAGGTGCAGACCAGGTACTTGCTAATATTAGTGTCAACAGCTGAGACCATTCGTGCACATCAGACCTCTGATTTGTTTTCCATCATGAAACTCTAATGGAATCCATTACACCGATGATGCTGCCATTCCTGTGGCTGTGTTGGGAGTCCCTGGACCGCTATTCCCATTTTGCATGGACAGAAAAGACAAAGAATTTTAAAGAAAAACCAAGTAATAATACAGATTTTAAAACTTTTCTTTTTGAACATGAGGCAGTAAGACTTCAGGTAAAACTGATCACCCTGCCCTGCAGTGAAAGGCTGAATTATTAAAACTCTTTCCTAACATTTCATTAGTCTGACCTGGCAACTTAGTCAACTTGCAGACAGAATACACACTGCTGCAGCACCAGACCCAAGAAAGGCCCTGCTGGACTTAAGTTCTGAATAAAGCTTTAAATCAAAATAAGCTTTGATTTTGTATTGTTCTGTGCCATTAAACAGAAAAAACTCTTCAAATCTTCCTTGCCAGTGACTGGCAGCATGCTTTGGTCCAGTTTTGTTACCTATACTGAATTTATGAGCCTGAAGTCTTTACGTTTACATAAACTGTTCAATAGCCACTCTGTCATAAATCTGTACTGCAAGACAGAGCACCACAGTACCTGTCAGAGACAAAAAGAAGCCAGATATTGTGAACAAAACCATTTTCCTGTTCTCAGTTTAACACCTGTGAACATCAGCAAGATCCACATGTTGTCTTAAAAGCTGAAGAGCCCACCAACCTCTGCCTTTCCTGACACTTTTCCTTATTTTGTCTGCAACAGAATCAACATCTGTAGAAGGGAAAGAATCTGCAGAATCAATCCATTTTTTACTGAATCTAAGGAAAGCAGTGAAATAATTTTACTTAACACTCAGTATCCCTAAGCAGTATCCGTCAGTGAGGCTTATTGAATCTTGGGGCAAGGAAAAACTAAGTGAAGATAAAACACAAAATGAATTTAAATAAAATAAGATGCCCTTATCCTCCCATGTGTTACAGTACTGGAACTTTTTAGTAAAACTGTTATTTGAAAATAAACTTCACATCATCTGCAGCCTTTGAAAACCCCCACACAGTCAAAGACAGAGTGAATTTTAGAGTAGTAAAGCAAACGATCAGAGGCTGGAGGATTACTGTACTATTGGAGGAGAGGGAGTTCTAGATTCTCCTTTGTAAGCCTCACACACATATACAACCTGCACTGCTGCATGGTTGCAGGCATCTTCACAGTTCACCTGTGGGACATGGAACAGAGGAAAGCAAATCCAAGTACACAGTACAGAAAAAAACCTGAAATATTGAATGTGCTTTTCCCCCAAACTCTGGAAAATCTTATCAAACCAGCTGTAAATTATTAGCACAAATCATATTTGTGCAAATCAGAATTATTTTATGGAAAAAAAACCACAAACCCAAAAGCCAGCCAAAGCCACACCCTCACCACAGTTTATCCCTCCTCACTAGCACGGTACCAATTATTGCTCTTGAGACTTCTCATCTCTGCACCAGCCTCCTTCTTCAGCCACAGACCTTGCTCTAAGCACACTCTCCAGTGCCCCGTCTTCCCACCCCTCCCCCTCCTGTCCTGGTTTCCCATTCAAAGCTGTTCACCCTGGCTGCTTCTTCCATCTCCAGCTCACTGCCATGGTTCTCATTCAGTTTTAGACTCCCACTCCCTCTTCTAGACTCTCTGGCTCCCATTCATCCCACACAAGGCAACTTAAAGCCTGAATGTCTCACTGCCGTCAGTGAAGAAAGGGTCAGTCCTCCGAGTGCTGATTCAGACCACCTTAACCCTGCAGGGAGTTACTCTTCTCCGCTTTCAAGCCAGAGGCATCCCACAGAAAATTTTAGAGCAACCAGAAGTGCAAAGTTCTGCGTGGGGAAGAGGTGGCACATGGTCACCAGAGCCAAAGGTATCAGATTTATGACACTTAGAAATGAATCCCCAAACCACTCACTCCAGCATTTTCTTGGTGCTTTACACTGTCCAGAGTTTTGGTCCAGATTTTTCAAGGTGGTAAATTACATTCACTTTGTAAATGCACTTGCTATTTTGGATTTTATTATTATCTGCGTAACTTGCATAGGGCCTGTTGGTATCTGACATAATTTTTATTAGACAAGGTGAACTTAAAAAGCACAGACCACAGATCTTTTCTGGCAGAAGCATGATTCACTGTGAAACATTCATTTACAATTTCCTACGCAGATCGATACATCAGTTTGCAATGAGAAGCGCTTAATCCTTTCTATGTAGAGAAATTACTTCACCAACTGAAGAGTTTAAAAAAAGAACCCATTTTACCAAATCCTTCACTTTGATTAAACATCATCTTCACTGTACGACAATCAGAGCCGTCTCCCAGGCAAACTCCACACTGGTCTTCAGTTGCGTTGGAATTTATCTCATAATCACAGCCAACAGCCTAGAAGGAAAAGCAGTTTCAGAATAAATGTGGCCTCCACAATGAAATTCTCAGAGCTCATGTATTGCTGCCTTCAGTGGACTCTGCTCTTCTAAGAAGGGGAAGAATCAATTTTGTGGAAGACTATATATCCTATATAAACAAAATAGTAGAGATTGTTATATCTAGGTCAAACTCGTGTATAATATGAAGGTGAAAAACAAACAAGCAAGCAACAACCACCACCATTTCATGAAACATACAGTAGTGACGAGTTACTTGAGATGGAAACACGCCACCCAAATGGCCTCAACATCTAGCATTGGCCAAAACATCTAGGATTTGTGTCTGCTTTCATATGTTGTAGAAGCATGCATGGATTCCCAGGAATATAATGCAGTAACAGAACTGAAATCTCTGTGTCAGCTTTTTGTGGCCATCAGACAGTGTAGAACCTCTACTGCAGTAAAACCCCCTGGTAAAGAGAAACTCTTCAGCAGACCTGAAGTTTTATACCCATGACAGCTGCTTCTCCAGCTTGCCAGCATTGGGGAATGGGTCAAGATAAAGTTCTGGTAAAGACTGATTTTCCAGTTCATGCTTGCTACAGGGAGAAAGCGAGAGAAAAATTTATTCATACTGAGTCAGGACAAAACTTATTCCTTGCTCAAACCAAAAATTCTGTGCACTAATGCCTTTAAACTTCAACAAGATCTTCATTTGGTTTTGGGGTGGTTTTTGCCTGTCTTTAAAAACTAGCAAGGTTGCAGAACACAACCTGATGGTTGTTAATAGTATCTAAGATATGTGGAGGCCTGTGATTTAGATGAATAGCCATAAGTCCGGTGGTATGTAAAGTTTTTCTCAGCTGATTTTTCTCAAAATAAGCCTTCAGGTGCGATACCTGCCAACTTCTCTAACACCTTCTTGATATATGAAAATCTGGGTATCCGCTTTTTTGATTCTGATCTTATTTTACCTTCAGTACATCAGCTACTGTAATCTTCTGTAAGCTTCTGACAGGAGAATCCATCCATTAGACTAATCTAGGTATAAAGGCTCCTGCATTCTCTAATATTTTTTCATAATTTTCAGCTCAAGAAACAGCTGAACTTTTCCTCTATGCACCGGTGATTTAATGAACAGCTAGAGAAGCTGCAAAACTGGAAGCAAGGAAAGGCCTCAAGTTACCAACGGTGTTAAACCATGTCACTTGAATTTTCACAGAGGATTCAAAAAAGACTCATCCATCACTTAATGCCAACACTTAGCCAGAACCTTTGATACCTGCTCTGAAAAACAATGGCCATGCCAAAAGGTTCTGCAGCAGCCTCAGCTTTTCTCTCCTTTCAGCCAAGGCTACTTTCAAAAAAGAGAAGGTTTTGTAATGTCTTTCACACAGACACATCTCGGCACCAAGGACCACGTTTATGAGCAGTACAGAATGTTACAGAGATAAGCACATGTTAAGAAGGTGACTACATTTTTGCCTCCAAGCATGTAGGTATTTGACCAAGGATGGATTTAATGAAGTATTCAAAGTACACAGAGGCCACTGCAATAAGTGCAGGATGTTTCTTTATCTTGCCAAGTGTTCAGATCTGACTCTTCACCTGCTATCTACAGTTGCACTGCAGTTTATATTTAACACTTCCTAAGAATTTAAAGAGGTAGGTGTGTAGCTATTTTCTTAAAGAGATGCATTCTGCAGTATATTTACTGTATTATCAGTATGTTCATTAATCATCTACAAACAGTTAGTAATATCATTGTTATCAGGTTTATTATTAGACCAGAGGAGTAACCAGCCTCTCCAGAGAGTCCTGAAAGTTGAAGTTTATTTTCTATTCTATGCACACATTCACTATTAAACAGAAAGTTGGGGAAAATCTGGAAATGGAACCCTTACACTTCATGTTTTGCTATTATAAAATATTATTAACAAGTGTTTTGGAGCTTCTCTTTTGAACTTCTTAAAACTAATAACTTGCCTCCAAATTGTATCATTTTTGCCAAATTAGCATTTTCTGGTAGAAAATGTGTGTTCTTGAAAAGGTTTCTGTTCATCTGTTCATAGACTGCCCAGGGAAGTGGTTGAGTCACCATCCCTGGAAGTATTTAAAAGATGTGTAGATGTGGTGCTTTGGGATATGGTTTAGTGGTGGACTTGGCAGTGCTAGGTTAACAGTTGGACTTGATGATCTTAAAGGTCTTTTCCAACCTAAACGATTCTACGATTCTATCTTTATTTACTGTTCATGCTTGTTTGAGTGATTGCACCCAGAAATAAATTATATAGTTCAGGCTGTCAATCAGACATTTTGAAATCAACATCACTGAGCATATTTCCCTTGTGAGTAATGTGTAGCGTAAAAATCCCCAAACGCTGAACAAATTAGTCCTGAACTACTGCACTGGCACTAGCAAATGAGTCCAGTGGCAGCACCACAGTATCATCACTTTCCTGCCTTTGGGGTGCCCATTAGAGTCTCTGCATGGGCCTGTACTCTGTATCAGCTCAGTCCGAATCAGCTCGGATCTTTCCCACTTGGCCATAGATTTCCTTTAGCAACACATCCATGGCATAAAAATATGACATCGCTATGAAATGAAGGGAATCCCTTTGTCCCTTCCAGTTATAACCACAGAAGCTTGTATTTTGTTTTTCCTCTGATATTTGAAACATAGTCTGTATCTGATCAGACATCACAGTCTTACCTATACATGCGGCAGGGTGGCATGCAGGCATCCCCAAGAATGAGGCACTGCAGACAACTGTGGCAGGGCAGGCAATTTACTGTATCACAGTAAACAAAGCCTTCACTTCATTCCCTAACTCTGGGGTGCTGTTGGTGGTGCAATGACCTTCATATCTAGCAACAGGGCCTCATCTTACAAGGTTATTAATGACCATCACAAAATGTATATTCTCATGTGTCAGAATAAACAGCTCCAGCAGTCATTCATTCTAAGTACATTTACATGAACTTTAATTTCCAGGCCATGTTTTGCTTTCCCACTCCACACATTATTTTTGCCATCCATTAGACTCATTTCTAGATGCTTCCTTCTCCCTTTTACTTGCTTTCCTCATTCTTCTGATTCTTCTAGATACGCAGTAGCCATATTTTCTAAAACTGCCTTAAATAATGTGCCTCAAATTTCTGCCAAATTGCCTCTTAAAAGGGATCTGGAGACTAAATGCAGGTCATAAAACAAGAAAAAAATCAGCAGCAATTAGGCTCTGATTCTTTTGCATGCATTTGTCCTTGTGTACCCTCTGCCAGTGAAACATGCTTGTGCTACAGCAACCACTGTGTGCCATAGCATGTGCAGCGCAAATTAGCATCGCTCCATGCAGCCTTTTGCCATTGCCCCATTCACCAAAAGCCTTTCTGACGTACCTGAGACTAGCTTTATTTCTGGTCCCAGCACACAGTGTGGAGGCAGAAATAATGACCTGAATTGTGTGGCTGCATTACAGGAAGGTGAAACAATTTCTTTCCTGCTGCTCAGTGACTAAAGGGAAAACAGCCAGAGATATTACCCTTTTGCCACTTCCAGAGGGAGAGACTTCTGTGTCAGATTGGCAGTGGGGGGCAGGTACAAAAAGTCCTTGCTGTCACTGAAGGGTACGGCCTGGATGTACTGCCTGAATATCAAACTTGCATGGATGCTACACTGCGCTTTTAAGCTCTTCCTTCAGTTTGTCTCCTCCACTGGTCTCCAAATAAAGAAATCATGTTCATGTCATGTTGGCCATGACATTGCCTTGAATAGGGAGAAATGTGTCCTGATGTGCCTATTTCTGTTCTGATTTGTCTAGATGGGTCTGAATCAATGTCCTGTTGGGCTAGCAGCGGGAGAAGAAGATTGAACCATAGTGAGAGGTAGTAAAGCTAGTACAAAAAATCTCAGATGTGTAATCTGCTTTTCAGCATGAGAAAACAACTTTCCTCCCTTGTACTACAGCTGTGTAATTCTCTGATACAGTGTTAATCTCTCAACAACAATCGTGAATTACCACAGAGAACAGCTCACAGATTTGCATGACTGAAGGCCATTTAAGCCTATTAAAATTCTGTGTGGGAGATGAATGCCTGTTAGAAACAGCAGAGATGCCAGGTCCTCCACCCTCAGTGTCTGCACGCTCTCAGTACATACACCATGTAAACCTTCAATTTTTGATGATGCCATGGCTTGTATTTGACCAAACTCCTCAGCCATGTACGTATCACTGCTCAACAAACATACTCTGGTGGCAGTATCTTTGTTTATTAACACTGGGGGAGCAACTGACTGCTCTAGTAAGAACTAAGAGTGCACTTGTGATGTATAATTTAAAACATGGGAAGACAGGATATGTGCTTTGAAGGTCTTCTAAATAAAGGGAAGTAAGTGACACTCAAATGATGAGTGTAGAGGAATATGGATAAATAGCAAACTAGTCATGGTATATCTTGATGATTTTAGGTTAAATTACTGACAGATCTTATTGACTGCCTCCACGCAAAGCTGTTTGTAAGTCAGACATCATGACAGGAGGGGGTCTAAGAAGGTTCCTGAAGGAAGGCCAGGCTAGGTGCAAATACAATAAAAGGATTAAGGGGACCACATATCCCACCTCCTTATTAGCACCACCTGAAACAAAACATGGTTGCAACTGCAGACACTTAGCTTTGAGATCCCCCTTTGCAGCCACTGGTTGCAGCACTGAGTGATTTAACAGCATTACATGTGTTTAGGGAACTCCTGTGTAAGGACAAAGGTGAGAGATTTTATTTTATATGCCAGGCCCTCAAATGAGTTAACAATTCTAGCTTGTCTTTGAATTGATGAGGCAAGTTCTAAAGGAATATCATACCAACACCTCACCGGTAAGGCTTCCTTCTGCACTGAGGCATAGGCAGCACTTCTAAAAAAATTAGGACCCATACATTGAACAAATTGCAAGGGCCAAGTGAATCAGCACTAATGTCTGTCCATACTTACTTCCCACTAGAAGATGCACATTATAGCTTTGCCAAGGTGGCTAGGAAAGCATCCATTATACCTCAGGTAGCTAAAATGAGGCATCTCAATCTACATTTAGCCATCAAGGTAAGACAAATTTCTCTGATTGCTCTGAACAAAACCATGGCAAACTGCAAAATCAGATTGAAATCAGCTGAATTTAGGAGATTAAATTCTTGATTGAATCTGAGTCTGTCTATCTTGCTTCAACCTATCCACTAGGAAAACTCCAAACTTGGTTGTTAAAAAAGAACTACGCTGCACGCCGAACACATTTGAGCGATATGGACAGTGGATCTAATGTACATCTCACCATTTTAGTTTTTCACTCAATTTCAGACCTAAGTATTTTTTTAGTACTCAGAACAAATGCAAAGTGCTTTTGTGAGATATAGTACTGAAAACCAGAACAGGGCTTTAACAGTCATTGCCATTAATGTTTGTGAACTCCTTTTTCACATCATTAGCACCATGTTGCTCTCAGAGTACAAGAATGATGTACCAGACTAATTATATTAAATGCATTTCCAGATTTATTCACCATAACCTGTAGTGTTATGTATTGTGTTTAACTAGCTGGACTAAAATACTAGTGAATTATATGGAGATACTTGAAAAAGCTTCTCCTCAAGTGTTATGTAGGGTACCTATTTCAGATAAAAGCACACTGTCTTTCAGAAGTGTGAGCTATTTGGGTTACCTATTCACCATTTGGTCTCATTTGTGGCAGTTGCATGGTTATATCGTTCACTCTGTGATTCCGACTCCAACTAAATCTGTTTGTCAGAAGATGTGAAGCAGTAGTCAATATGTGAAATGCTCACATATCTGTATTTATGATAGCACCAGTACCTTGGAGGAAATTTTTAGAAAGGTTTTGAGTCCCCAAAACTATTAATGCTAAAGTATATCTACTATCTACAAACTGCAGTTAGAATTAGCTTTCCTTTCACCTCTGATCTATCACCTCTGATGAATTAAGTTTTACTAGTTATAAAATAGGTATAAATGTGAATTGTCACAGGCAAGGTTCAATACAGAAAGCATACAGAAACTAAAATTAACCATAGTGATCCCAGTCCTTTTGGGCTGGAAATCAGAAAATGAAAGTGTAACATCACAAAGAGAGCCTTCTGAGTTTAGCACTGGGCCTCTTCCAACTGAAGGTCAAAAGCACTGATATGGTATGCGACATTTACTACACATTTCAATATGCTAAAGATGTGTTTCCATCTGGCTTGAAGTGCTCAAGACCAGGTGAGGACTTTCACCATCATAGTTAAAAGGCCCATCCTGGCTCTCAGCAAAGTCAAGCAGAATCCCTTCACTGTGAATTTGAGCAGGGTCTTGGTAACTCCCTTTCACAAATGCATGTCCTGCAAGGAATGCTTAAAACAAATCTTTTGTTGCTGCTCTCTGAGGCATTCTACTAAAATAGAAAGTCTTCAAAGAGGGTATACCAATGACCTATTAAAAATTTGGAGTTTCCATCACTAGAAGTCTTTAAGAAAAGAATGTGAAAAATGTCAAAAAAGGAACATGACTCTATAAAGGGATGAAACAGATGACTTCTTCAAGTCCCTTCTAGTTGCATTTTTATATGATTCAATGAATTAGGACATACAATCCCAAGCTCCCTACGGTAAGCTAATATAGTTTCCACAAGACACCAAGTCCTGCTTTTGTTTCCAAAGATGTTAAAAGCAAAAAAGCTATCAGGCTTCAAGGGGGTACAGGACACAAATCCCCAGTTTGAAGAAATAAACCATAGTTGTAAATACAACCCCTACAAGTAAAGTACTCATTTTATTTATGAGAAATTCACTAAAACCAATGCTGAGACTGCGGGTGTTACAGCATCTACAGAACAAACCTTCAAATGCCACAAATGCGCACATCATCCTAGAAACCTACTATCAACATGCAGAATATGCAAATAACTTTATACTTATTCTTCAATAAACAAAACATTATTGAACCATATACTCTGTGTTTGCCCATTATCTCATTGTAGCATTATTCAATTTACTATTGTAAACTAAAATAATTTTTACTGCCTTCAAGTGCAAATGTCTGACCCTATTACAAGTCAGTTAAGAACTGCTACGTAATGTGTAATGTTAAACTGCATTTTCATAAAAAACCCACAGACAGTGGTGACACCAATTACAACCCTAAAGCCACAATCCTTTGTGAAAACATCTCATTAGAAACAAACAGATTTTCTTAAATTGATGTTTTAAAATAGCAGCAGGAGAGGAGTTAAAAGGTACCAAAAGTAATTAGCACTCAGTCTAATGGATTCATTAAAAAGGATGGAAATTCCTCTTATGTCTACTTGGAAAAGCTGTTTCTATAAACTTGTTTCCACAGTCATTAAAAATGCGATAAAATGGAGTACTTGGCCTCAATCCTCCAAAAAAATTGTTAAACATTTTCCCATAACTTTATAAAATAAAATAGTAGAGAAAGAAACATGCAAACATACCCAATACCTTACACATGCCATTAATACAGATATCTCGGCTGTGTCTTCCTTCAAAGCAAGGAGTACCATCAGTCACTGCATCAAGCATCTTCTCTGAAAAATGGCCATCTATCGGGCGACAGTGGAGCTCACAGGGATTTGCTGAAAGGAAAACAAAGAGACTTTCTCAGAAAATACTTCAGTGGGACATTGAACTGTAATGCACAGGGAGTGACTGTATGTCTTTACTGCACCATCCATTCACTTTCCCTGGCATTTGCTGACAGAAATGTGCTAATTAGAAGCAGTTAGCAGAGCCAGGGAGCCAGGGTCCTATGGCTAACAGAGTGACACAGGCCTGATAAATACCACTTGTGGACTTCTAGGAAGCAGCTGGAGGCTGGTGCCCTCATGCCTCCATGCTCTCCATCACCGGTATGTTAACAGCCAGCTGGCTGAGTCGAGCAGTAATGAGGCCATCAGCTGTGATGGATAAAGGAATGGGAAAGCAGCAAAACCGACCGTCATTAGTGAGGGAAAAGGAGGAATCTTGGCAGTAAGATTGCCAAGGACACTAACAAGCAACGGTTTTCCACCAGCTGATGACTGAGTGATTTCAGAGATAATTTATAACTGTTCATCACTGCTGCCAGCCTCTCTCAGAGAGCAGTCAAAAGGTTGCTTCTGATCTTCTGCATGTCAGTAGTGTCACATCACTGCTTATTTTCAGCTGTCTGCTGGCACTTAATAAATTATTTTAAATACTGGACTTTTTTCCTGCTTGGCAACTTATGAAATGGGGATAATATTGGTGGGTCTGACAAACCCAGGCGGTTCTTGGATAGATGTGCACGGAAGCAACAGGGAAGAGAAAAACTGTAGCAAAATCAATCTGTGGGTCTCTGAAACAAGATTTTCTGCAATGGACCAGCCTTAGTCTATTCCATCCACAGAGTAAGAAAAGCCAAACATACACTGCCCTGCCTCACAGACACTGGCCCTTGGCAATGGGACATTTTGAAAGCCAGGCTTCAGAGAGTCAAAGGACACAAGTTTGATAAATAAGTTGTATACCTGGAAGATGAGTTAGAACTGAAACCAGGGTCAAAGCAAAGACAGATATAATCGCTGCCCTTATATCACTCCCTGGAAAATCTCCAGCAGAGCCAGATATATCTGACAAAAAAAAAAATCACCCACTGTCACATCAATAAGGGACAGCAACAGAGGAGCTGTCTTCTGGTTTTGGTCTATTCCAAGACCCCAGTCCAGCCAGGTGCTAAAGCAATTTGTTCATGCTCAGCAAGCTGATATGCTTTGCTGAGCAAAGCAGTGGGCCTCAAAACCGCCAGTCAGTAGGGACCTCAAGGCACCATTATTGAGCCCTTTTAATATAATCTCCCTGTGTGCTGCAGAGGTGCCTCTGCTGAGTGACAGTTTCATCTTGTGCCTGACAGAGCCAACAAAAGCCGCTCCCTTGGTCTAAGAGGGATGCAGGGTAACTATACATCTTCTACATCCTGGCTAATGAATTTCTTTCTCCCTCTTTCTCCCCCTCCTCCTTTGTTGACGTGGCTTGTGTCATACAAAGAACTGTGTTTAAAATTAGAGGAATTTCTAGTAATGCGAGAAATTCAAACTTTTGGTAATGCAAAGAAACTAAATAATTTCCTACAAAAGGGTTTATTCTTTTGAAGGGGGAAATGCGCTCTCATTGCTCTGGTTTGTACAGCACCAGCATATACACAGCACCACACAGTGCACAAAAGCGACAGCAGCTCCTGCCCCCAAGGTGCTTGCAGCGCAAGGACTGACACCTACACAGCCTGAGCTTTAAACTATGAATCTCATTCACGTAAACAGGATCTCTGCAGAACTGGGATCCAAAAAAAGGGACACTACAGGAAATCCAAAACCTTAATGAGGAGTTTTGTGTTTTCCCTTCTGTCAGTAGAGTTAAAATGGCATCTTAGGACTGACAACAATGTTGTGCTTGTGGCTTCTCAAACAAAGATACCTTTGTAAAGGGCAATAGAGTGATCAGAGGCAGAGGACACATATGGACCAAGGTTATAAAATTGGTGGAATTCAAGGTGATGTGAGTCACGTTCAAGAATATCGACAGAGATGGAGCTACAAAAGAGTCTGGGGCAAGAACATGAAGTTTGTAATCCTTATCAGCCCTCAGCCCCTCTGTGAAAACTGCCAGCCATAACATCCATCAGTTGTTCTGATAAGAGCTGTCATGATAAGCGATACAAGTAATTTTACTTGTATCTGCAGAAACCTTTTTCTGGCCATGTGGCTAATTTGATTACTTTAGTGCTCTAAAATTTGTTTCACCTTGCTTACCTTCTCAGTGCACCATTTCTTAAACACAAAGCACAATACCGTTATGGAAAGGAGAATCCCAGAATTCCAGCTAGTCTGTTACCTGCTCAGAATCGATCCTGACGGACACAGGCTTTGCACAAAGCCATTTCAGCTTTTACATTGTTCCTAATGAAATACGTCGAGCAGCAGTTTGATATCTGTAGCTCCTCCCTAGCTGTGTGTTGACATAACAAGCAAGATGGTATCCAATTTCATTTCAGGAATCACTGAGCAACAAAAAGCAGGCAGTGCTGACTGCTGACATATTCCTGTCATAACTATGATGCTCTAAGTATATAACTCAGAAAAAGTTTGTAGAGAAACATAACTCCCTTACTAATCCAAAATAAAAAATAAAAATAAATGTCATGAACTAACCTCAGTTGGCAACTAAGCACCACGCAGCCGCTCGCTCACTCCCCCCCCACCCGGTGGGATGGGGGAGAGAATTGGAAAAGCACAAGTGAGAAAAACTCGTGGGTTGAGATAAAAACAGTTTAATAATTGAAATAAAATTATAATAATA